TTCGTTTTTCACAAGAAAAAATAATCTAGAAACTCCTGTCGGTCCTGTGCCAGTTTCCCAAACTTCCGACGACGATAGTTCAGAGGATGAGTCAGCAGGTGATGTCGCAGCACCGAAAAAGCCAAAGCCCTATCATTTCCGACAAGAATGGCTCACTGAATTTACGTGGTTGAGATACTGTAAAGAAAAGAAAGTGATGTCCTGCATGTACTGCTCTCAGTGCGGTCCGAAATTTGCGGGGAAAACTAAATTTGCTGACTCCACCACACACTTCAAACATGAAACGCTGTTTAAGCACAATAACTGCATCAGGCATAAATTATGCAGGGACAGATGCAATGATGGAGCAAAAGCACCGCTGCACACATCATTTAAGAGGCAGGCAAGTAAAAATAGGTCTGCAGAAGAGGCTGAAATGACAATGAAATTCATTCAATTCAAATGAAATATTTGTTTACTTGTTTTGTTGTGGTCGTGCTGTATTGACAGTAAGTTACTGACCACATACTTAATGTTTACATTTGTTAATTTATTATTTGGTTCCCCTGTTGAAGGAAGCCCTTTAATTTACCGTAATGGTGTTTTCTTAAGCACTAGCCTACTGCACTTTATTAGTGTTTCATTTGAAATAAAGCAGTACATTGCTATTACTGTAAATTGTCTGTGTTTATTGCTAAATTATCAGTAACGCAGTTAATATAGATAAAATTATGAATATGTTGTGTCGATATAGAAAGTGCTCCTAAATTTTGTGCTGGTGCTCATAAAATTTTCAGTAAGGAGCACTGGTGCGCCTAGTGGAAAAAGTTAGTCTGGAGCCCTGCAGTCTGACAGCATAACGTCCTTCATCTCAAAACCCACCTATTCACACCACCCTGGGTTTTAAAAGTCTTACTGATTTTATCAAAGCAATTAAAACAGTCAGAATCAAATCAAAACAGTAGAAAGAATTTAGACTAAGACCATTTGCTTATTAAATGCTACTAGAAGAGCAACAGTGATTCCAGTTGTTACAGCACAGTTTACAGGTGAGCAGACGGTCAGTATACATGGCAAAGTGACAGAGTTGGCATTAAACTTTTAAAAAGATCACCCTTTTCCAGAGGGATACACAGATGAATCATAAATCACAGGAAGTATGAAGTGTCTCAGTGAGGTGTAGCTTCACTGTGAGCCTCCAGGACAGCTTCAGCTCGTTGGCATATATCCTCTGAGTCTGTAAAGCTCGACTGGAAGACTGGAGCACCTTTCTTCTAAAAAATATTCCCTCATTAGGTGTTCAACTGGGCTGAGAGCTGGGGACTGCAAAGGCCAGGGCATACATTACCTGCATACTAATCAAACCATTCAGTGAGTCCTGCGTGGAGGAATCTGCGCTCCTTATGTTCCTCCACTCATTTATTCTGGTTCTGTCTTTAGCTTGTCACCCATGTTAAATATGTCATGTTGATGTGTAGCACCACGCTCAATGAGAAGGGTCTAGCAGCAGAGCTCCATGCTCGGGCCCACTTCCTCCATTGGACCCTTTCCGGTGCAGAGCATGGAAAAGAAAGTTTGAGTTTGAGTTTGAACGATCCTGCGCTTTAGCCAGACACAATGGAGGGGGCATGGCCGAGACGTGCATGTGTCCCCAGGAAATGTGTACCTACAGAAGCAGCAAGCTCCGTGTCCATAGCGACCGCTCCACCCAAAACACTGTCTCGTCAACGTGAAAAAATTTTTTTCCAGCAGATGTCTTAGTTACAACATGATTGAGCTAACTGGAGTAGTTTCATGTCGTATCCGACAACGGGAGGTTTTTAGCAGATGACGTCCTGATGTTAGCTTTGCTAACTGTCCCTGTCAGCTGCAGCCACTGATGCTTTCTAGACATCGTGATTTCCCATAACTGAATAAATACCACACGTAGCAACACAACACTGCTTTGCTAGCTCAATCATGTTGTAACTAAGATATCCGCTGGAAAAAATATTTTATTCACGGACCGTTTATTGAGTCATTACCTTATTTTTATACAGTTATTACAGACACCGCTAACGGCTAACTTTAACAGCTAACGGTTAGCCCAGCTAATCTACGATAATCATGTTAACGTGCACACGGAAATAGTAACGTCTGTTCAGTCATTGTGTTGTGTGTTTATAGACTTAACAAACATCAGATTAGTCTACACGGTGATATAGTGACGTGAAAAATGTGATATATAGCTAAACTCTGCTGGGTTTCTACCTGAAGTATTTGTAAACAACACAGCGATTCCCTGGGGTCATCCCTATGTTTCCCGGGTTCTATGTTCCCCGCTCAACCAAAAAGGGTTCTATGTTTCCCACTTATTAAAAGAAAGGTTCTATGTTCCCCGCTTATCCAAAAAACCCGGGAAACACAGAACCTTTTTTGTGTAAGCGGGGAACATAGAACCTTTTTTGCAGGGTTAAGTGGGGAACATAGAACCCGGGAAACATAGATACGCTCCCGTTACAGTACATGAACTCCCCATCAATCTGTTTGTAAGGAGCCTCTCTTCACCTTGGAGATTGTTTATCTATTTCTGACAACTCAAGCTCTTTCTCTCTATTTCACAAAACACATCAGTTTACAGCAGTATAAATGCAGCCACAGATCAGTGGAAGACCCAGATTAGGAAAAGTGCAATGCAGTAATCACAAGGAAATGGAACTCTTTCACTCACTTCTCATTTCCTTTCCTTTCCCCTGTCTCCGCTGTCTTTGTTCTTTACCACCGTGCTGCAATACTCAATAAAGTGGAAAATAATCAGAAAGATGAGGAAGGTTGAATCAATGTGAGACACACAGAGGGAGACAGGGAAAGGGAAAAAAACAAGAAGCAGGGACACATTAGGTCACACTGAACAACTGCTACTTATCCATAATTTATAACTTTATGAGACAGGAGGATTAAATATCTGAAATGTGGGTATGTCTAAAAGGTTTCACAAGACAATCTCCTGACAGGTACACAGGTTTGGTTGATTGAAGACTCTAAAAAAAAAGACTAGATACAGATTAACTGGAATTTGGATGTGCTTGTTCAGTTAGTACCCTGATAAAATGGGATTAGAAAGATTATTACCATGCTGTTTCTGAGCTGTTCAATACTCTCGCCCTTTTTCCTCAATTCAGAATCCTACAACAGAAACCTACCTTAATACAGTGGAAACCTTTGATCACATCTATCTTGGTCAAATTGATCACTACAAGAGGATTATTATTATTCATCCATACCAATTTAACTGTAATTTTTATAAATATTATATGAATATAAAATAATGAAACGGAGAGCTTTGCTACCAATATCAGCCCACTTGACAAGGGTGGCTTCAACCACAGGTGCTTTCCCAGTGTGCATTAGTTTTCCATTTCCATCAGCGGCCACAAGGTTACAAGGTAGCCTAGAGAGCACCAGTTTTTGCTGCTGCATCTTGTTGGCTCATATTTGGCACTCTGTCTTAAGCCTTTAGGAGATTACATTTTTCATTGAGAGAAAATAAATTTCTTTCTCCCATCATGATTTCAGTGTGCACAGGATGGAAGCAGATGGATAACTGGGAGGCATAGTATCTGTCTGCTGACCACTCAAAGCGCTTTAACATACAGTACCTGCCACATTCACCTGTTCACACACATATTCACACACTGGTGGCCGAGGCTGCCATACAAGGTGCCATGTGCTACTCAGTAACCATTCAGTCGCACTCACACACTGATGGAACAGTGACTAGAAGCGGGAACTGCCCATTGGTCCGACAGCCCATTGGTTCGACATCCCATTGTTCCGAAGTCCGTTCCGAAATCCTCATGATGCCCTGTGGTTAAGGTCTGGTTAGGTTTAGGCACAAAAACCACTTGGTTAGGGTCAGGAAAAGATCATGGTGTGGGTTAAAATGAAAAAGAAAGTGACAAACACATAAGCCTTGAGCCTGCTCCGCCTCAAGCCTTTCCCAGCTGACCCAGAGCCGGTCGCGGCGCACCATACGCCCGCTGCGAGCCGTTCAGCACCGCGGACAGTCGGACTAATGGGATGTCGAACCAATGGGCTGTCGGACCAATGACATGGACCCCTGGGGTCCATGTCCACCCAACTGGGGGTTCAGTATCTTGCCCAAGGATACTTCGACATGCAGAGTGGAAGAACCATGAAAAGCAGTTGGGGTTTTTTTTCCCCAAGACATTGCTGCGTTTTCGGCTGGGATAGTGGCACAAAAAGAGGTTGTTTATGACTGTTGTGTTTCCAGCAGGGATTGTGCCACCAGAGTTGGGTATTTAAAGCCAAAGCATGATCTTTTCTGAACCATATCAAGTGATTTTGTGCCTAAACTAACCAGACATTGACCACAGCATGCTGTCACTGTGGTTATAATCTCTGTAAATTTCATGATATTACTATCATTTCTATCCTCCAATGGCCAAGATATCACCCCATTATACCCATGGGTAGTTGTGTGCATCTCCAAGGTTAACTTAGTAGAAAAAAAACACTTGTTTGTTTTTTACATTTTATTTTTATTTTAGAATTCAAGACAGTGTTAACATTTCTTTGAAAAAAATATAAAAAATGCTGCACAGGACTAACTGCCACGAATCACATCCAACTGTAACCAGGTTGCTTTTACAAAACAGTTACACAAAGTTTATAGAAAATATTAGTTACACATCACAAAATAAACTATCCAACTAGTTATCACTACTATAATCACCATTACCATCAGTGATGATCACTGACTGATTGCTCACCAAAACACTATTTTTATTTGTTAGACAGTTCCAACGTTACACAGTTTATCGTCACTTTAGCATCTGTTTCATCTGATTGAACATTTCTAGAGAGCAAAACTACGACAACCTTTATATGACATAACACAACCCAAAGCTAAATATGCTCCATTATCACAAACTGAACTCACAAATAATCAGATAATCTGTTCCCTCCACTGAGGATTTACATGAGCAGATGGTCTGTGTGACTTTGAGGGACATTTATAATGAAGTGTGGCTCTCATGCACTATTGATAGGTCTGATTCAATTTTTAAAAAGTTCAGATTGCCAAGTTTAAATTGTCACTTCACTATTGCAATCTCGACACCATGTGGCCCCATTTGTAAAACAGCTCATATTAACAAAGTGTTTTGTTTTATGACCAAATCTTGACTCCGCTTTTACTTTGTACTTCAAAAAACATCTTTATAACGGTTGTTTTCAGATTGTGAACTCACGCCATCGTGTAACAAAAATGAGCTTTACATTTTTTTTACACAATTTCCAATCAACCCTCAAAAAACTTGACAAAGAATGAGCAGACGGCGTGCCATCCCTCGCTGCAGTAACTCTGCACTGGCTCCATGTCGTTCACCAACCCTTCATCATCAAACCCAGTCCTCTCCTCCTCCTCCTCCTCCTCCTTCTTCTTCTTCTCTTCTTCCTCCTCCTCCTCCTTCTTCTTCTTCCTCTCTGACTTCCCCCCATCTGAGTTCTTACTGGCTGGTGCTACTCTCTTCTTCCCTCCTTCCTTTCCTCCCTTCTTTTCCTCCTCTCCACTGCGTTGGGCGAGCTTCATGTGGGCCTCGGCCGGAGCCTTCTTGCAGGTTTTGGCCTTCAGGACTTTCTCTCCATCACAGGCATTCTGCCTCTTCTTCAGCTTCCCCACCAGCTGCTTCCAGTACTGGCTGGACTTCACCCCATAGGCCTGGCAAAGGTCTGGTTTACCGGCGTAACGGCACCAATACCTGGAGAAAAAGCAGAAACAAAATCAAGGAGAATAGAGATTTGACAGCGAGAAGTCAAGAAAAAGTCAAAATACATTCAAGGACTGAAACTTCTCTTCCAATTTATTCCCCTTTCTCTGTCTGTTTGTGACTTTTGTCATTAATTCACAACTAAGCAGTTCCTGATAATGAAGAATTTGACATGTCTTAATGAAGGAAACTAATGAGTCTTTTTTTTAAATGACTTTCAGACAAATCACCCAGGACTTTGTGTCAGATGTTTCCCAACTTTAATAGCACACCTGTGTCTTGGCAAAAGTAATCACCTTTTTGCATATTGAAAAAGGTTATCAATAATCTGAGCTCAGTAATTCCCATTTAAAAAGTTTTTTAGGGCAGCATGTCTATGAGGGAGACAGTTTTATGTCTCATCTGGTGTGTGCTGTGGGCATTAAATGCTACAACTCTTTCTGGATCCCAACACATCTGTTCTGTAATGTAATTAGGAAAAACATCCTCTAATCTTAAAAGGCCATATTGAGAGTAGGGTAGTTGTTCTGTAATTAACAGTTCTGCCATGGCTCATATTCAAACTTATAAGACATAGTTACTTTGTTGGTTTTAGAGCCGGTACACATGTGGCATTTTTTGCGCCTCAAATCCATTATTGTCACTGAAGACACTCAGAGGGCTTGCTCAAAAGTGACAGCAATGACGTCACAGTAAGTAAGCATTGCCAAGCTCCTGTTTTTCGAGGCTGTGCCCTGTAAACCCAGTCTCACTCCAAAGTTGTCAAATGCCGGCGCTTGGGCAGTGACTTCTGGCGTCAGACACCAATGAAAAAAGTGTCCTTTCACATTGGCATGATACGCAGCCAGTTGCCGTTATTGTTTAATGGTGCCTAGCAACGTCAGGGGGAAACGTGGCCAGACAACAACATAAGCTGAGGGGGCGAAAGTTTGAGTTGTGGTGCATGGGTCCAACAACCACTGACTTTCAGCTGGGAGGCCAATGTTTGCTTCCTGTGTGATTGTAAAGCCAACCTGTTTTTTTGTTTTGTGTTGGGATTTTTAAACCCAACCACATGTTTTTGTTTCCTAACCCAATCACATGTGTGTGTTGGCTAAATGTAACCATGTGCATTTGTTGTTGAAGGAAAAAAAACATCAACTCACTGTCTTTTACCGACGTAGTGTATTTTGAAAAACAGACAGTGTGGGGTACAGGCAGAAGTTAACATGGCGTCCGAGAACATCAGCAACCAAAGCCCTGAGTACCTGACACTTCATATCTTGACATGAAAAGACCATGACCAAATGTCGATATGTGACGAGATGGGAGTGAGAATGTGTTGGCCCTGAAAAAGGAGAAGTTTAACTTTTGGAACACAGCAATGCAAACTACATGCCACTTGACGAGGAAAATACAGTCACCAACAGATATCTTTCCTTTATTCTGTTAATATTAGTCCATGGTAAATATGAAGGAGAGGCTGATCAGTTCATTGCATTGTTTATTGCCATTTTCCATCCATCCACCAGGTGCCCTCTGACTTTACCTTCTTTCCCCATCACCTGACTGCTTCACCCGTCTTCTCACCTGATGCCACTCCTCTAATCAGCTGTGCAGTTCACCTGCTCAGCTGTCCCTACTCTCCTCATTAGTCTTCCAGATATTTAACCAGCCCAGTTTCACTCACCCCCTGTCAGTTTGTAGTTGCTTTATTGGTGTCCTGCTTTTTGCTTTTGTGTTCAAGCATCTGTTATCTGTATATCTGTATGGGTTAGCATCTACCTACCTGTGCCTGCCTGTCTCTCACCAATAAAATTACTGAAGTCATCATGCGGCCTCCTCAGTCTGCTTTTGGGTCCTATCCCCGTTGTCTGGTATAACCAGCTGTGACAAAGTGTTACTGTAACCTACCCACAAGTGGGATGTGAGCCCTGGTCTCTGTTTGAGTTTTTCTGAAGAGGACACAACTAGAATCATTCATCAACATTACACACTGTGTGCTTTTATCCCTTCTAGTGGTGCCAGACTTGAAGAGACTGTCTTACTTGGTCCAGTCCATAAATATGTATCATAAATCTTTCCCATCAGGGGTTTGTCCAGAATTAAACTACTCAGCAGAGGAGTGATTTAAATAATAAGCTCCAGTTTTGAGTGTCCTTCTCGATAAGTGAACCCCTGACTTATTTAAATGACTGAAAATGACTTGAAATGAAATTGACACTTTGGTCAGGTTTAGGTGACATGAATTTATGGGCACTAATGGTGAATTACATTAATGTGTGTAACATCCACTAGTGAGATGTTGCACTCTTCGACCTTCAGTGAATCAGGTGAGGTATTACTGTTAGTGCTTCCCTTACCTCTGCTGGTCTCCCAGTGTTTCAGTGGTGCAGTTCACCAGTAGGCTCACCATGCCCTCACCAGACGTCTGCCAAATGCAGCGATGGCCCTCCTTGGTGGTCAGCTCCCCAGAGCCAGGCACCGAGCGATTTCTAGCCCTCTTGGCAGGTGGGGAGGATGTTGGTGGCTGGCGGGGTTTTTCAGGTTTCCCTTCACCAGACTGCCGCTTGGCCTCGGTGAGGATGGGGAGGCAGAGGAGGAGGAGGAAGAGGAAACTGCGTGTCAGGACACTCATGGTGGCTGGGAAGAGACATTTGGACACAGAAATAAGAAAGTCAGTTTATTTCCTGAACCCCTTGTTCAGTGGTTTGGCCTCATCTTGATCTTAGCTTTCATTTTGTGGCGGAGAAAATCCTGTTGAACACGAACTGCCTAGCTGGTGAAGAAAGTGGAAAATCAAGCAGCTAAAGATTCAGATGTTTTTCCCTGAAGCCGGTAGAGACCAAAAACAGAGATAAAAGAGGGTGAATGTTGGACTTGCATTCATCAGGTGGACACAGACACAACTTCTATGGGAGGAACTTGTTGCTCTGTACCTGCTGGATGTGTAAAGCTAAAAATGTGTTTCTGTGAGTTCCTTTGATGACTCATTTATGCTCAATGTTAGATATGTGTACTGACATGGATAGAGCCTTTTGTTTTTACTCTGTTCATGTTGTTTGTATTTGTCCATGTTTTCTGAAAGCTTAATGACACAGACAGAATGGAGCAGTACCAGCAGGAACTGTGGGGGGCAGTGTATTGTAGTTCAAGCTGGACACAATACAGACATTTTTAAAATAGTAAAATGGCACAAATCAGTAATATTTTGAGATTAATTCTCTGTTCACATGTTGCAATGTATTTAATGGCCTCACAGACCACCTCCGTCTACAACGCTGCCTCCGTTAAAGGTACATTATCATGATCTTTTCCATAGTCGCCATGTTTGTTGTTGTCAGAACCTTTTGAGTCTGCCTTCTAGTGCCATCTAGTAAATGTATCTGACAACATAAAGAATGCATGGAGATATGTGGGCAGTGATGGTTACAACATTTGAAATGAACAGATCTATATTTGTACATAAAGGGAGTAAACATGAGCCCTTTTAGAATTTTTTTTTTTGGTCAAATATGGCTAATTGCATCATAAAGACAGCTGAATCCATTCTTGGGGTGTCATGACTTTCTGTACCAAATTTCATGGTAATCCATTCAATAGTCGTCAAGACATTTAACTCAAAACCACAAATATCAACCTCATGTTGGTGCAAGCGGAAAAGTCGTGGGGTCACCAAAGTTATCACCTTTATTCCTCTGAGGAATCAGGCCAAGCTCTCAAAACAATGGATCCTACATTTTCAACAAGTCCTCCAAACCATATGACCACATAAATCATTTGTTCCCACCCTCTACTATGACCTACAGGAACATTTCCTTGTGTCCCTACCGGTTGCAGGAGATCAGCACATCTTCATACCCAAACGACAGAATGTGTTGTACATGACCTTTAATGGTTTTGTTATGTAACTGTCACAGATGCACCTAAACTACTTGATTAGGTTCAGAGAAAAAGATCCCAGTTTGGGTTAAAAAAGGTACATTTGTAAAGTAACTTAACTAACGTGCGCCAGTCAACTATGTTACTTAAAACAACAGCTATGACTATGGGTTACACACAGGATGCAGAACAGCAGTCTTCTGGGTCAAAGTCCTGTGTTTGTTTGACCTATCCATCCACCCCGACCTCCTTTCAGTATGTTCTCATACCAACTCATCAAACATCGCCGCTTTGTCAGTGGACTTTCACGTCTGCATATGATGCGCTAGGTGTCCTCTTGCATCTGCTGCTGACATTCTGAAACGCCATGTCCGCTTATGCATGTTACATCTGTTGTCCCTTCAAAATACTCTTCTATTTTCACAAGAAATGAAAAGTTTCTGCTTGTTAGATGCATGCAGTCTTTTTCAAAGTAAATTTAAAACTTTGGTAAAACATCTCATATTTGTGTTTATTTTATTGTGCAGCAAAATAACCCGTGTGAGGTTTAGATAGAAGCGTCATGACTTGGCTCAATACTTAGACAGGAAGCGAACAGCGGGCTCCCAGGTGAAAGTCCTGGGTTTGTTGGACCCATCCACCTCCCCTCCAACCTGTCCTATAGGGACCTTCCAGATCCTTATTTAATGTTGTTACCAGCTGCACTTCAAACAGATGCTGTCCAGCAGCATTATAAACTGACAGCAGTGTATCATACTGCACCGAAAAGGTGCCTTTTTGCTTCAGTGTCTGACGCTGAAATCACTGACAAAGCAACAGATGGACAGGTTGAGAATGAGAACAGGCTGCCCTTCTAAACAGACTTAGCCGCTCTTTATACTACGTCACCCGACTTCCGCCTTTTGCTTTCGTCACACAGCCTCCAGAGGTCACTGCCTTACAATAGCGTCAACATGGGTCTGCTGCTTGTATGGTTCACATTTCCAACAATGCAACTCCATTGAGTTTTTGTTAGACCCTCCATGCAACAGAACACATTATACAACTGTTTCACCAGCTAGAAATACTTAATTCTTAAAAAGATATCTTTGATAAGAGCCACAATGAAAATATATTGACACTTGCAACTAGCAGTTTCAGTGCTAGAACATGTGATTGGAAGAAACTTCAAGTCAAACTGAATGGGTTCAACATTGCCAATCTTTAACAAGAGAGAAGCCTTCCTCATCAGTATCCCAGAGGGCCAGAATGTCAAAGAGTGACACGATACGAGTGTTAAATGTTAAAAAAATGGACAATAGACAGAGAGTGGGGGTGTGAGTCTGTCAGCAGCTTATTGAAAATCAGCCAAGCATCAACAACACTCTCCCAGGAAGAGTCCAGACCGGATATGCAGCTATCAAACAACAAGTGAGGGGAGGAGAGGATAACTGATGAACTCAGAGTTAATAACAGGTTTTGTCAAAAGATATGAATAATAAGAAAATACAGCTAAAGAAGGACAATGTTGTTGTCTTAAAGCGGGAAGTCAAATATGCATCAACATAAGATTTAGTGCTTAACGTTAATGCTCTGCAGTGTCAAAACTGACGAACTGATAGTAACATCAGCTCATATCAGAGAGAAGAGGAATTATTAAGCGCCTATTTATTAGAATTCTAATGTGAAAATTAAGCCAATAAATGAATAAGCTGATCCAAGTGGATCTAAATGTTCAGACTGTCCTTTGTCTCCTTTGTTTTGCCTGCAGTCTGTCTCCCAGGTTAGCTGTTGTGTGTTTAATGAACTGTGTTTGCAATCAGCACTCTAAACAATTAGAGTCTGGATTAATGAGAGTAAAAGCATTCATATCTTGTGTAGCGCTGTGCCCCTGGGTCAGCGTATAAACACTGAACAGGTTGCTTCCCTCTACCTCCATACCGTTAACTATGTGATACAGTGGGGGCAAAAAAACAGGATGCGCGTTGCCATAATTAATCCCATTAATAATGTTTGTGCGTTTGTGTTGTAATGAGGTGGAAAATTAACTCAAAAGGACATTATGCTCCAAAGCTCCGTGATGTTTTTGTTTCAGTTGAAGCCAAAGTGCTCCGTGAACAAACGAATGGATTTTACAATCAGGCACATTAGTATCATTACTATTCTGTTATCAACACTATCTTTCACATCGGGAACCAAAAAAACAAACACAAAGAGATCGTAGTGCTCATTGTCCTGACCCCTCTGGGCTTTTGTTAAGCCCGCAGTGGATAGACCAAGGCAGCTACTGCTATATGAGTTTGAGTTCCCATTGTGCTCAGACACTGCATGATAAAAATTACATGGTGAAATATTGTGAATTACACCTTTATTTTGTTCTATGTTTGTAATGCTTTTGCAAAGACACAATTCAAAGCCAGTCTGTTAAACTTGGCCAGCTCGGGCTGCATCCACAGTGAAATGTTATGCTTTCATAGCATTAGATAAGCTTCACCTCTGCCTTTACTGAAACGTTTCAGATGCAGCTTCATTTACTCGGTACAAGTAAGTAAACAAAATCATTCAACAGTGTAACCACACTAGTTACAACCTACTACATCCATGGTATCGGCAAGGGGGCTGTACACGTGCCGCAGTTTTTGCACCCTCAGATTAATTGTTTTTAATGTAGACATGCAGCAGGTGAGTTCAAACGCCAGTGCGACAATGTCTGAGTTACACAGAGTTCACCTTTTGGAACGCAGCAGTGTGCATTGCATGTCATGTGACGAGGAACAACCAATCAAGGCTGACACATATATTTCCCTTCATCTGTAAATATCAGTCTGTGATAAATATGGAGAAGAAGTCGATCGTTTTAGTGCAGGGCTGGCAGAGCTTTACGTCTGTCCAGCAGTCAATAGGCCTACACACAAACAGCTCCTGGAAGAAGATCAGCTCTGCACTCAGGATTTCAGGTAAATAGGCTATGATACGGTGCTTGTTAGGGTGCTTAGCAACCTCAGACGCAAACTGCTGCCAAGCTGTTGAAAACTGGCACAGAAAAGGCACAAGAGTAGTAGCCATTGCTTGACCCTGCATTTTCCAGGCGATTAAAGACACTGAATGTGTGTGAGTGGTAATACTGCTTAACTAACTACTGCATAGCCTAACATTCTCAACATGATGAGGTTAACCATGCACAGGCGCCAAAGGTATGCTCCAAAAACAAATAGTACTACACCCCTGACTGAAGGGTGAACATTCTGTAAAACTGTCTACACTGACCGGACATCAGCAGCCCAGCAGTAGCCTCACTTCTCTTTCAGTGTCTACACATGATGTGTTCAGGTACAGCACTACATGTAGGTCATCCATATTTTGGGAGCACTCTGAGCACAATAGACAATCACTGTAGATGTGCCATAAAATGTTAGAAAATAGACCTGATGACTAAAAAGATACCATAAGGTTTTTTCAGGAGTTGGTAGAGACCAAACCTTAGGTAAAAGGAGAGGGAGGACAGGTGGACAGAAATAAAAACACCTCCCCAGAACGATAATCATGTTGGACTCTCTCTGCCGGATGTGTAAAATAAGCAGCTACTACAGATGTATTGATTAGAGGAGCATCATGGCAACTTGCCAACAAACCACCATTTGTAATCAAAAAATATCTGCCATGAAACTGCGCCAGCTTAGGGCAACAAAAAACGTAAATCTTGGGTGCATCGGTACAACAGACAAGACAGAGGAGAACAGAAAAAATACCCGCACACCAATTAAACTGCGCTGGTGGGCCACAAAAAAGATTCACAGGCTGAGATTGATGGCAAAAATGTATTAAAAACATCCATGCAATATATAATTCTCAATAGACAGGTCATTGTGGTTTGGGAGTCAGGCTGATCTCATCTAATTACTGACTCCAGCTGACTGATTCATCACACCTGGTAGGAATCTGTCTGTGTCTCTATGTGTCTGTGAAGCACACGTCAGCAACACTGATGATAGTCAAGGACTGAAACATTTGCTGCTGTTTTTTTATCACTTTTTATGATTATTATTTGCACTTTGAGCACTCTTCTTTTTGTGCACAGATGGTTTGAATAAATTGACATTTTTTGCCATCCCAAACCCTGACCGACACAGTGCCATTTCCAGCTGGCTGGGCACGGTTTCCACTCCATTTCAATACGGCACACAAAAAGACACATTCCACTTGAACTGGTTTAAACTAACGGTGTCTGTGGCAACATAAACAAAACAAACTAATATTCACATTTCACACATTTAGTTGTGACTTAATCCGATTTGAAAAAGGTCTGTGTAAAGTTTATACTGTCTGTTACAAGAAATTAACACATGCAAGCCAATCAGAACTGAGAATTCTCAGAAGCCATATTACAGAAGATGCCATTTTGAATGGTGGTAACTGAGGCATGTACTGTTGGAAATTGTGTGCATCTACATTGTGCTTTGTCCTTCCACAACGGTTCATTGTGTGTCTTACTATACAAGTCAAAGAGCAGTCAGTGTTTAAGTTACAACCTAAATTCAACTGTCTGCATAATTCATATTTACACAGATATTTTACTGAACCTTGTTAGGTGACAATTTTTTGTATATTTGCGTGTTTTTCTTAGTTTATAAAATTAAATTTTGCATCAAAGCCTGAACTGATCTGATGTCCAATAGCAAAAGACCTCAGAGGTCTGAGCTGAATGTCAAGACTAAAAGTGCTGGTGCGATGCAATCAATATTAACACTGAGTTTGGCTAAATTAATTAAAAAGACTGAAAAATTTACCCAATTTCTCAAAGGGACTCATCTTGAAACAACATAAAAAAATGACTTCAAGCTAAAAACTTTAAAAATCTTTATATATGCAGCATTATATATAAAAGTGTCCCTATTTTCCTCTCAAATTTGGTATGTTATTTTTTCTAACTTTCACAGGTTCATGTTCATCTTGACATTAGAAAAAAGTCTCAACAAAAACAGTTCTATTTTGCAGTATAAGTCAGCTCTCCACTGCAGCAGAGTTTCTAGGAGATGAAAAACAAAGACACACAGCACCAAAACAAAAATAATCCCCTTTCCAAGCACACCCCCCACCACACACACACACACACACCTCCAAATACACCCCTCATCAATAAGTCATGACACAAAGCAAATCCTTCTTCGTCACCTCTCACACTCTAATATTTGGTTTGACAGTTTTAGAAAGAAGCACAAATGCAGAGTAGTTAAGTGTTCAGGGTTTGTTGTTTAGTGTGAGCAGAGGCCCGGTGTTCTTACCATGTGACGCTCCACGGCTCTGAGTCGCTGTGGGAATGAGGGGACCACGAACACTTGGATAAAAGAGGGGAGAAGACGGGGATAAAGGAGGTGGAGGAGGAGGAGGAGGAAGGAGGGGGTTTGGGGAATAAGGAGGACTATACCAAGAACTGCCCACCAAAAAACCTCAGGGACGCCTCCCACATTTACCCCTTCTGACAAAACCGTGTGTGTGTGTGTGTGTGTGTGTGTGTGTGTGTGTGTGTGGGATCAGGACAATGGACACACTTGCCAAGGTTTCTCACTCTGTGGGACAGTGACGACACCTCAAGGGTTGCTTCAGTGTCATTCAGTTCACGCACATTTTACTGTTACTGTATAAATATGTCAACTGCAGCATCTTGGGTTTTTTTACATTATTTATTTAGTAGATTTTCAAATTAAGACTTTATTGGGAAATAATGAACACTGTCTGGTTCGTTAGAGTCCAAGCACTCCCAGTGGCATGAGGTTAAACACATTCATCACTGTATGAAATAGTCCAGTGTTGAGTTTGCCAATAGAAAGCACTCAGCTGTAAATAAGCAGCCAGACAAAACAGACATTAAAAATTTAAAACCACAAGAACCACATCAGCAGCTCAATGTGGCTCCAAGACACAATCAAAGGGAAGGGAAAGCAGAAGGTGATTTCAACATCCATGATGCCAAAAAAATGCTTTTGACGCAGCAGGCAACACAATATCACAACATTTTGTGAATTAGGCATTGACAGTTTTAACTCTCCTTCAAAGGTCGATCCCATCTATGTTCTTCTCCTGTTTTTTCCGATGTAATTGTCCACTCAGCAGATTGTAAAAAGCAGTGATGTACATTGGAGTGCTACTTATAGTAATAACTAGAAAAGTGCACTTACTGGAGAACAGATCCGGTGGCGTTGTCCCTCCTGGCTCCTTTACAGTCAAGATGGTGTTGAAAATAACATAAATAGGGATAAATATATCTTATGCCTAATTTGAGTCGATCGTAATATATGAGGTATGGAATTATTCTGCAGATGCTCTGGTTCAAGATCAGGCCAGACTTTTCAGTGAATGTCAGTTTTTGAGCCATGATGAAATGCCAAAAAATGTGTCCTGCAACAGATGGTAAGGCTTGTTGTTTTTAGCCAAGCAGTTACAAAATGTTATCCCCTACTTGCCTGTTAAAGGTCTCGTCAATGACAGTATTAACAGGCAATAAAACAGTTTGCTCAACATTTGTGAATCACTGCAACCACGAGAGATCCTTGAGCCTACTCTCATAAATGTGCACACAACATATTAGGATTATTGGTCCATTAGTTTGTGTGATTAGCTGCAGACAGATAGATCGACACAACCAGTTAAAACACATTCTCATGCCGACCTTGTCACATATCGACGTTTGGTCATGGAATTTTCATGTCGTAATTTGACATACAAGGTACGCTGAGTGTGTTGGTTTTTGACATTCTGGTATGCCGTGTCAAGTTCGGCCTGTTACATGCACTGCCTGTTTTCAAAATACACTTTCATTTTCACAGTTTGCATACCGTCTCTTTCAAAATAAACGCACTACGTCAGTATAACACCGCAAATTGATGTTTGTTTCCTTCAACAACAAACGCACGTGGTTACATTCAGCCAACACACGATTGGGTTTAGGAAAAAAGAACAGGGTTTGGCTTTACAGTCTTTCAGAAAGCAAGCACTGGACTCCCGTGTGAAAGTTGTTGGTTGTTGGACCCATCCACCACCCCTCCCGCCTGCTTTCATCGGACTTTCACCTTCTTAACTTATGTCCATGTCCCACCGCATTTCCCCCTGATGCCACCTGGCGCCGTTAAACAATAACAGCGACCGGCCACGTATCGTGCCGACATGAAAGCACGAAAGCATCAGTGTTTGATCACTTTGGAGCGAGACCTGGTTGCCAGACCATGTCTGGTGGAGATAAGAAATATTTTGAAGAGGAGTTGTATAAGATACTTATCCATAGTCAGTTTATTACACACAGTAGATGGTGGTCAGCAGGTCCCCAGTTTGGAGAAGCAGACTACTGACACAAAAGCTAAGCAATGTTCTTGCGTTGACTGGAGGAGCAGCAAGAAGTATTTTAGCCACCAGTTTAAGTATATACTATATTTAGCATATTTTCACTGCTTTACGTTGCCATCAGACAGACCTTTCACAACAAGAAACTGACACTGTTATATCACTCTCTTCAAAGCCAGACTCCTTTGACAGAAACAGTAATTTTACATCACAAAAACACGGGAGTTACTGGTTCTACCACTGTCTTGATCAGTTAGCTTATTCCTGCTATTGAGTACGGATCTGGATCTGAACTAACATAATGTCCCCAGCAGTACATCGCTTAGTTTCCATGCTGGTGAGGAGATAGATAGGACAATTCTCAAAGAAGGCTTGGCTCAGGCAAGGCAGGCTCCTGGGTTAATATGTAGCAACGTCGTCATGCAGAAAACACTAATATATACAGTACAGGCCAAAAGTTTGGACACACCTTCTCATTCAATGCGTTTTCTTTATTTTCATGACTATTTACATTGTAGATTCTCACTGAAGGCATCAGAACTATGAATGAACACATGTGGAGTTATGTACTTAACAAAAAAAGGTGAAATAACTGAAAACATGTTTTATATTCTAGTTTCTTCAAAATAGCCACCCTTTGCTCTGATTACTGCTTTGCACACTCTTGGCATTCTCTCCATGAGCTTCAAGAGGTAGTCACCTGAAATGGTTTCCACTTCACAGGTGTGCCTTATCAGGGTTAATTAGTGGAATTTCTTGCTTTATCAATGGGGTTGGGACCATCAGTTGTGTTGTGCAGAAGTCAGGTTAATACACAGCCGACAGCCCTATTGGACAACTGTTAAAATTCATATTATGGCAAGAACCAATCAGCTAACTAAAGAAAAACGAGTGGCCATCATTACTTTAAGAAATGAAGGTCAGTCAGTCCGGAAAATTGCAAAAACTTTAAATGTGTCCCCAATTGGAGTCGCAAAAACCATCAAGCGCTACAACTAAACTGGCACACATGAGGACCGACCCAGGAAAGGAAGACCAAGAGTCACCTCTGCTTCTGAGGATAAGTTCATCCGAGTCACCAGCCTCAGAAATCGCAAGTTAACAGCAGCTCAGATCAGAGACCAGATGAATGCCACACAGAGTTCTAGCAGCAGACCCATCTCTAGAACAACTGTTAAGAGGAGACTGCGCTAATCAGGCCTTCATGGTCAAATAGCTGCTAGGAAACCACTGCTAAGGAGAGGCAACAAGCAGAAGAGATTTGTTTGGGCCAAGAAACACAAGGAATGGACATTAGACCAGTGGAAATCTATGCTTTGGTCTGATGAGTCCAAATTTGAGATCTTTGGTTCCAACCGCCGTGTCTTTGTGAGACGCAGAAAAGGTGAACGGATGGATTCCACATGCCTGGTTCCCACTGTGAAGCATGGAGGAGGAGGTGTGATGGTGTGGGGGTGTTTTGCTGGTGACACTGTTGGGGATTTATTCAAAATTGAAGGCACACTGAACCAGCATGGCTACCACAGCATCCTGCAGCGACATGCCATCCCATCCGGTTTGCGTTTAGTTGGACGATCATTTATTTTTCAACAGGACAATGACCCCAAACACACCTCCAGGCTGTGTAAGGGCTATTTGACCAAGAAGGAGAGTGATGGAGTGCTGCGGCAGATGACCTGGCCTCCACAGTCACCGGACCTGAACCCAATCGAGATGGTTTGGGGTGAGCTGGACCGCAGAGTGAAGGCAAAGGGGCCAACAAGTGCTAAACACCTCTGGGAACTCCTTCAAGACTGTTGGAAAACCATTTCAGGTGACTACCTCTTGAAGCTCATTGAGAGAATGCCAAGAGTGTGCAAAGCAGTAATCAGAGCAAAGGGTGGCTATTTTGAAGAAACTAGAATATAAAACATGTTTTCAGTTATTTCACCTTTTTTTGTTAAGTACATAACTCCACATGTGTTCATTCATAGTTTTGATGCCTTCAGTGAGAATCTACAATGTAAATAGTCATGAAAATAAAGAAAATGCATTGAATGAGAAGGTGTGTCCAAACTTTTGGCCTGTACTGTACATACCAAAATGTGAATGTTCGGATTTAAATGCAAAACGAAAACTACTAGGAAGATGCAGAACGATTTATGCACAGATAAATAAATAAATAATGGACCTGGTGTTTAACCATTGTGCTACAAACTGGTTAAATGTGAGGTGAACTTTATTCAATTAATCTTAATGTTAACCTTAAATGCCTTCACATTCTTGGGTTGTAGTAAATAAGACTCTTGAAGTGACATGGAAAAAATAGCTCATTACTTTTCTACTTTCCAAGTGCAGTTCCTGAACTTTTTTGCTCTAATACAAACTGTCTCTTTGCATGGCCCAAAGATAATTTAATCCAGAAAAAGCTGAACTACAGTCTTTGACCTTTTTTGTCCCTTTGGTTTTCTATGGTCTACAGCCTCACAGAGCAGCCTGGTGACATGTATCAGCATGTTTTTATGCAGTTAACCTCACGAGAATTACACAGAGTAAACATAAATAAGCTGCTTATTATGTGCCAGACTCTCTTAAAATAATTGAAAATAAAGATAGAAAGAAATAAATGATCTCCATGTTTGCATAATAAACTAGTTATATTATGCTGAAAGTTGAGTTTCTTGATTTAACCCAGTGAATGATGTTAGGCTGTAAATCGTTTTGCTTTTAAGGGTAAGAACAGTGAGTAATGACTTTTAAAACTGTTTTTTAAAGACTAGACAACAATTTTAGCATTTTTATGCAGTCATAACTTTAACATGCAGGGCTACCATAATGGAAGCCTGTAAGAAAAGACTGCTACAAGTTCAGGTTAAAGCTGGGTTAAAATGTTGTCACACATTTCCACAAGGTTGTTGTTAAATGCCCATCATTTCAGCGTGAAGTAGCTCCTAACTACATGTTGAAATGGCTGGATGACAACTGTAAATATGAAGAAGCACTTGAGAATCCCAGAGAAAACCAAAACTGAGTGTTCCTCCTGAATGTGAATGAGACATGAGCTCCTGCAGAGACGGTGGCCTTC